CAAGAAGCTTTCTAATACTACTGTATTTATATTATTTTGTGTGGTAGAAGTGTAAAAAGAGTACCACAGTTATTAGGTGGCAATATCTGCGCTCCCTGCCCTCTTCTGCCTCTTCCTGCATTTATTTTGCTCTGGTGAAGGCTAAACTTTCTGCTGGCTTAATTTTATTTTTAATTTAAATTCGATTAATTAATTATAATTCAATTATATAGTGTATCATTAGTTTCAGAGGTAGAGGTCAGTGATTCATCAGTCTTATGTAACACCCAGTGCTCATTACACTTGTGCCCTCCTTAATGTCCATCACCCAGTTACCCCGTCCGCCCACCTCCTCCCCTCCAGCAACCCTCATTTTGTTTCCTATGATTAAGAGTCTCTTATGGTTTGTCTCTCTCTCTGGTTTCATCTTGTTTTATTTTTTTCCTGTCTTCCCCTGTGATCCTCTGTTTTGTTTCTTAAATTCCACATATCAGTGAGATCATACGATAATTGTTTTTTTCTGATCGACTTTTTTTGCTTTTCTGCTGGCTTAATAGTTATGTAATGGGTAAAAATTCACAAACAGTCAAACTTAATCTCTACCGCTACATCGTGTTCTCCTTGGGCCCTGAAAATTTAATCTTGCCAATTCAAGGGAAATAGTCCAGTTAGCCATGACCCAGTCATTTCCTGCGTAGATGCAGTCATGTGCAGGGTTCTGCCCCCTCCCCTGGTTCTGGTGTTGGCATCGAAGTTCACCCGTAGGGGGTGGTGGCAGCGCTTGCAGAATGGGTTGAGGGAAATCCTCTGGCTCTGGCTGGCGCTCTATGAGATGTCGTTGGCCTTATGGTTGTTTTTTTGTTTTTGTTTTTGTTTCTGTTTTTTTAAGATTTTATTTATTTATTTGAGAGAGAGAGAGCCCGAGTGGGGAGGGGCTGAGGGACAGAGAAGGAATCTGAAGTAGAATTTGCACTGAGCACAGAGCGACTCCTCAATCCCTCCTAGATTCTGCAGTTATGTCCGCATGGCTTCTCCCTGCCAGCCCTCTACCCCCCAACACCACTCCATACTCTGTATCTGCCATGTTCTAACCAGGAAACCCCTTCTGGTATGTTAGCCCTTCCTCTGCTCTTCCTTGCCTTGGCTTTGGGGGTGGGACTCTTCACAGACCCATCACTGGCTCTTTCAGCTTTACCCCCTGGGGCACTGGGGGGATGAACTTCCTTTAAAGAAACTTGCCCTACTGGGATTTCAAGCACAGGTTCCTCTACTCTGGAACCCCTTCAGGGTATTTAGGCACATGGGCAGGGCTTGGGGCAGAGCTTGGAGCAGGTGTGGGGCAGGACGTGTGCGTGAGGTGTGGGGGCAGGGCTTGGGGCAGGTGTGGGGCAGGGCACCTGGGCAGGGCCCGTGGGCATGGTGTGTGGAAGGGGCTTTCTACCCTTTCCAGTGGAGAGAAAGTTTTTCTCCCCCAAACTGTTATTTATGGGCAAGCTTTATATATAAGTTACTTAGGACTCTAGTACTTGATTTTTTAAAAAAGATTTAATTAATTATCTAATTTAGAGAGCCAGTGGAGAGGAGGGGCAGAGGGAGAGGGAGAGAGAGAAGAGAATGTGAAGGAGACTCTGCTGAGCACGGAGCCCCATGTGGGGCTCGAGCTCACCTATCTATCTATCTATCTATCTATCTATCTATCTATCTATCTATCTATATTTTAAAAGATATTATTTATTTATTTGACAGAGAGAGACACACAGCGAGAGAGGGAACACAAGCAGGGGGAGTGGGAGAAGGAGAAGCAGGCTTCCCGCCGATCAGGGAGCCCGATGCGGGGCTCGATCCCAGGACCCTGAGATCACGACCTGAGCCCAAGGCAGACGCTCAACCAGCTGAGCCACCCAGGCGCCCCTATATATCTATATATATTAAAGAGAAAGAGAGGGAGAGGTTGGGGGAGAGGCAGAGGGAGAAGGAGAGAGAGAACTAAGGGTCAGAGGCTTAACCAACTGAGCCACCCAGGTAGCCTATTTAAAATCAAGTTTTTGAACCTCAGAAAATCTTTTATCTGTTCAAAAGCCTGGTTTCTGCAAATCAGAAGGGTCTTGGTTTTCAAGACTAGTTTCTGTTAGAAGTTTCCAACATTGATGTTAAAAAAATAAATCTAGAAATGTGGTTGCTTTATTCTCACTGTATTTTGACCTCTCATGAGGTGGTAGATCTGTCTCAAATTCAGTGTTGTTTTTTTTTTTTAAGTTTATTTATTTATTTTTTTTAGTAATCTCTATACCCGGTGTGGGGCTTGAACTCATGACCCTGAGGTCAAGAGTCACATACTCTTCTTAACCAACTGAGCCAGCCAGGTGCCCTTCAAACTCAGCTTTAATGGAGGAAAAATGGGGGGGCAGGTAGGGAAGGTTATAAGGGCAGGAAAACGAAAGGTATATTGATTGGAAGAATTTACTGAGAACGAAACCCCTTTAGAAAATGTTTTAAAAATGGTATCCCTGTGTACTTAAGAATTGGAGCTTCCTAGTGGAACCTCAGGTTTTCTTTATTCAGGGCAGAGCATACTTTTCAAAACCTCAGTGGCGTGCCATTTTTCTTTTGCCTACAACTTTCTTAGCAAGGTCTTTATTAAGGCCAGTTCCGTATCTGTCCCAAATTTATGACCTAATTTGCGCTGAAAACTATTTTTGTTTCTACTTTCTATGCCTCCATGGTAGTGTTTAAATTTGCTAAGTGTGAAATCTCACCCCAAAGCCTTTTCTTGAAAGTGATTCCAAACATCGAGGAGTGGATGATTTAAGGTGCTCTTCAAAAATCATTACACAAAATGCGATATGAAATGAGACATGAACTGCCAGTCACGAAGGTGGGAACACAAGGCTGGAATGTGTTTGCAAAAATGCGATTGCTTATTCAAATGATATTACCATTACCAGATCACCACTGGGAGTCAAATACAACTGCACGTCAAGCCACTGGAGGTTTCACTCAGCTCTCTAATAGCTGCATTGTAAGGAAAATCTAAATAGTAATATAGGTCTGCAACATGCCCAGTGCATAGAAGGTGTTCAAAAGTATAGATTGAAGGGCACCTGGGTGGTTCAGTCGGTTAAGCGTGTGCCTTCAGCTCAGGTCATGATCTCAGGGTCCTGGGATCAAGACCCACATCAGGTTCCCTGCTCAGCGGGGAGCCTGCTTCTTCCTCTCCCTAGGCTGCTCCCCCTGCTTGTGCACTCACACGTGCACTCTCTCTCTTTCAAATAAATAAATAAAATCTTAAAAATAAAAAGTATAGATTGACTGTCCGGCTTCTCAGAGGCTTATCAGCAAAGCCTGTTGAGGCAAGCTGAGCTGCCAGATCATCCATCCGCTTCATTTTCCTGGGAAGAAACTGAAGGCACATTGATTCTTCAGCATAAGGAAGGAGATGGGGCGTTAGTTCTTGTTCCGTGAGACTGGGTATCAGTAGATCTCTGGTGCCTAGAGAATTTTTGGCTGAGTATTAGAAAGTCTTGGTCACCCCATCATGTGGGACCAAGTTTTAATGAAATCTCAAAGGATACTACAGGGCCCTTTACCATTTAGATCAATCAGGGAGGGAGAAGGACAAAGTACAAAACCAGGTAAGGTCTGGGGCTGCCATATTTGCTGCCTCTTTCATGGAGAAACAGTGTAGTAGAATAAAGACTGGCTCTGAATTCAAATTCTACCTCTGTTGTTTCCTGATTGACCCTGAAGAAGTAACTTAACCTCCTTGAACTTCAAGAGCCATATCTGATTAAAGGCAGGCTTGTGAAGATAAGAAGGATTAATATGTCAAGTACCCATGAATCAAAATTATAGTTTGTTTTAAATGTTTTTAAAATTTTTTAAAAGATTTTATTTATTGGAGAGAGCCCTCAAGGGTGAGCCCAAGGGGCAATGGTGGTGGAGGGAGTGGCAGAGGGAGAGGGAGAAGCAGGCTCCCCACTGAGCAGAGAGCCTGATGTCTGTCACGGGCCTTAACCCCAGGACCCTGAGACCATGACCTGAGCCGAAGGCAGATGCTTAACAACTGAGCCACCCAGGCGCCCCTAGTTTGTGTTTTAAATAGTGTGTTTTTTTTTTTTTTTTACATTTTCCAGATATATAAAATAATATGATCATATTGAATATGTTCTTTCAAACTATAAGCCCCCCTCCCATATTTGTGAGTGGCCATCTTCCATTGATAGTCCCTGAATTGGACTTTTTAAATTGACCCTTGTGCTCATCTGGAACATACACTGCAGAATATTATAACATAATCAATCTGAATGTCATTACCATTCATTATCCCTAAAAGCATTTATGAGACAGCTATATGCTTGGGGCACTGTCTAGATGGATCGACAGCCCTTGATTTCTGGCACCTTGCAAGCCAAGACGGTTCTGCAATAATCAGGCTTGGAGGCTTGAAAATGGAAAGACTGGCAAGACTGGGTCACAATGAGGGCATTTTCAAAGCACACAAGCAAAGGGAAGGACTACCTGGGGTCATATGGCATGTAGTGAGTAACGCAGAGGAACCTGAATTGGGTGTGAAGACGGGAAGAGGTTAGTCTGGAAAAACTCAAAGGTAGAGATTGGGTCTTTGGGCGCTGCTTCAGAGAAGGAAAGGATGCAGAGGGGGTTGGTCTAGACAGTTAGGGATAAATCCAGATTGGGATAGAATGACCAGATAAGTCATGTGATTTCAAAGATTAGGGGAGCTACAGGGGTCTCCTGATCCTACCAATGAATGAAATACTCTGTACTCATTGTGTCCTGGCCTAGGGTTACAAGAGACATTTCTGCCTTCCAGGAGCTACTCCGCTAGGATCTGGGGTGTCAGGGTAAATGCAGGACAGTGTGTTGTGAGTATTTGGGAGGAAGTGACTAGTTCAGCTGGGGGAGGGGTACTCACTTGGGGAAAGCTTCACAGAGATTGTGACGTTCTACAGATGAGGAAATTGAGACCCAGGGAGAAAAAAAAAAACAAATTGTCCGGCTCTCTGCGCCTCCCCGTTCGACAGACAGCCGCGTATTCTGGTGCAGTGCCAGCCGCGTCCCTGAGACACGATGGTGAAGGTCGGAGTGAACGGATTTGGCCGTATTGGGCGCCTGGTCACCAGGGCTGCTTTTAACTCTGGCAAAGTGGATATTGTCGCCATCAATGATCCCTTCATTGACCTCAACTACATGGTCTACATGTTCCAGTATGATTCCACCCATGGCAAATTCCACGGTACAGTCAAGGCTGAGAACGGGAAGCTTGTCATCAATGGAAAGTCCATCTCCATCTTCCAGGAGCGAGATCCCGCCAACATCAAATGGGGTGATGCTGGTGCTGAGTAGGTTGTGGAGTCCACTGGGGTCTTCACCACCATGGAGAAGGCTGGGGCTCACTTGAAGGGTGGGGCCAAGAGGGTCATCATCCCTGCTCCCTCTGCCGATGCCCCCATGTTCGTGATGGGTGTGAACCATGAGAAGTATGACAACTCCCTCATGATTGTCAGCAATGCCTCCTGCACCACCAACTGCTTGGCTCCTCTGGCCAAGGTCATCCATGACAACTTCGGCATCGTGGAGGGACTCATGACCACTGTCCATGCCATCACTGCCACCCAGAAGACCGTGGACGGTCCCTCTGGGAAGCTGTGGCGCGACGGCCGAGGGGCTGCCCAGAACATCATCCCTGCTTCCACTGGTGCTGCCAAGGCTGTGGGCAAGGGCATCCCTGAGCTGAACGGGAAGCTCACTGGCATGGCCTTCCTTGTCCCCACCCCCAACGTGTCCATCGTGGATCTGACTGGCCGCCTGGAGAAAGCTGCCAAATACGACGACATCAAGAAGGTGGTGAAGCAGGCGTCAGAGGGCCCCCTCAAGGGCATCCTGGGGTACACTGAGGACCAGGTTGTCTCCTGCGACTTCAACAGTGACACCCACTCCTCCACCTTCGATGCCGGGGTTGGCATTGCTCTCAACGACCACTTTGTCAAGCTCATTTCCTGGTATGACAATGAATTTGGCTACAGCAACCGGGTGGTGGACCTTATGGTCCACATGGCCTCCAAGGAGTAAGAGCCCCCTGGACCACCAGCCCCAGCGAGAGCAAGAGGAAGAGAGAGGCCCTCAGCTGCTGGGGAGTCCCTGCCCCAACTTATCCCGCAAAACACTGAGAATCTCCCGACCTCCACCGTTTCCATCCCAGACCCCCTGAAGAAGGGGAGGGGCTTGGGGAGTCCTACCTTGTCATGTACCATCAATAAAGTATACTGTACCCAGCCAAAAAAAAACAAAAACAAAACAAAACCCCACAAAAAACAAATTGTCCAAGAACACACAACAGAGAAGTAACAAGAGTTGAGATTACAACCCAAGCCCTCTCCCTGAGCTATGACTCATTCCTGGCCATTGTCCTAATAGCTGTTTCTCTGCCTGAGGGAAGTGAGGAATCACGTGAGGCTGAAGGTGTCGTGGAACAGAAAGGGAGCTGGTCTTGGGTCTCCTGATAAAAAACTCTGAGACCGGGGCTTGGTTTACCATGCAAAAGACCTATATCCTGGGGATCCCTAAGATGAAGCTGAGAATGAAGACCGCACAGTGGTGAGTTGAGATTTACAAATGCTAATGACATAATTTGACCTCTAAAGTTCTACCCATAGGCTTTTGCTTCATCCAGTTGGAGTTAGGACGTGTGACTTAAGAATCTTCACTGGTGCAAGTAAGCCAGGGCTTTGACAGTGGCTCCTCCAGGTCTGTGTTGTGGGCCTACCGAAAGGACACTGTAGTGTGTTAGCAGGACACCCGTGAAGACCATAGGTGTAGAGATGGGACAGAATGCTTGGCGAGAGGAGTGCAAGTAGTAGGAGCATTTGATGGATAACTGGGTGGATCGACAAAAGGATGAATCTCCTCTCCCCATGAAGCTCTTAGGTGTACCGCTGCTGCTGAGCTACAGGATGGTGAGGCTGTCCAAGAGCCAGCATTTTGGGGAGACTAGAGAAGCTCTCTAATTTCCTGTCTAATCTTTCTCTTCCCACCATATTTAACTTGAGTGGCTCTATCTGGATCCCCTGAGTGATAAAAAATTTGGAATGCTCAAAGCAGTGGGGACAAAAGCAGTCATTTGAATGTGGCTTTTGAAGACTTGCAGCCTACCAGGGGTAGCCTCAAAACATTTCCCCTTAGGGAAACTTGAAAAGACTATTTCACCAGAGCAGGAAAACACCCACCCTGTGGTTCTAGGGTTTGATGTTCAAACTGGATGGCAGCTAAAGATTCAGAGAGTGAATTAGCTGGAGTTAGGCTGCTCATAAGCGCTAGTCGTGTTATTAGATGATGATATGATATGAAGATCCTAAAAACTTCCAGCTCAGTTTCTTTCATTTATGATATTCTCATTGAATAAGTGTGACCGTTAAGAAAGCAGCTTGAGACAATGTTGAAAACATGGGGGCAACAGAAGGAAAAAACAACAAGATCTGAGACTGATTGTAGTTAACCTAATACGTGTAATTTGGGATTCTAGACAAAGAGATTCACAGCTCATTGGGTCCCCTCACCTTTCCTTGATACACTGATATAATCTGATTTCCTAGTTTCAGAATGGGAAATTGAGTGAAATATAAGAAACGTGTATGTTTAGAGAAGCTGGGATGTGGTTGAGTGTAAGCTGACTACCCTGCTAACAGCCGGAAAGAGGAACCAACGTGACTCCTGAGGCACAGGTTGGGTATGAAATGGAAGAGCCAGACTGAAGAACACGGTTTTAGGAGGTGGCCTCGTTAGATGTCACAGTAGGAAAAAATTTGCTCCAATTTTTTTTGAAAAACTCAAGATGCTTCCTTTAGTATCACAGATGTTTTTAATTAACTTCAGTAGTTTTATTATCTCATTTCCTGGGTGACCTAACAGCAGACTGTGAGTAAGCAGAACAGGATGCCATTTCTAAGAAAAGCATTATTCATGTCTTGGAGAGGTGAGCTTTAGGGAAAGGAACGCCTGGAACCACTTTCTGGGAGACCATAACCCTGAAACGTTGGAGAGAGAAGTCAACGAGTCTGTTAAGTCAGGGGACCTCTCTTGTTTAGTCTAAGAGAGACTTAATTTCCAGTTTTGCCAGTGTGCTAACGGCATGGGAAGGGAAGAGTCAGTGATTCCAGCACCAGTGAACTGCTGCTTTGGACCTGAGTAGGAAATTCCATTATACTGACGAGCTTTGGAGCAAGCGACTCCTGAATAATTAACCTGGCATCCTCCTTCTTTTCTATTATTGTGAGCTACGTGAAAGTGAAGATAGGAAAGTCAAGGCAAATGGTCAAAACTAAAAAGCTGGCAACCTCAGGAACGACCAGGGGAGGGCAAAATAAAACAGCAGTGAGGTACCATTCCACATCCACCGGATGGGCAAACATCAAAAGGCCAGCTCAAACCCAGTATGCTCGAGGATCTAAGAAAACAGAAACTCATACTCATCGTTGGTGGGGAGGGCAGGTTTTGTGCTATTACTTTGTAGAGCAAATTGGTAATTCCTGGTAAAGTTGGGAGGTGCCTCTCCTCTGTGAATCAGTTATTTCACTTCTAAGTATTTACTCTAAGACTCTCCCATAAATGCTCAAGGAACATTGTTTGTAATAGCAAAGAAGTAGAAATGATCCAACCCTCTATTGACGAGAGTGGGGGCTTGACCAGTTGCAGCCCCCCAGGGTAAAATCCAGCTACCTGTCTGTTTCTGCTTAGCTGGCAAATAGTTTTTACATTTTTAGAAGCTTAAAAATATCTGTGACACATTATGTTTTATATCATGTAAAAATTTTATGAAATTTGAGTGTTAGTGTCCATGGTAAAGTTATACTGGAACACAGCCATGCTCACTCACGGAAGCATTGCACTGTGGGGCCTCCATGCGATTCTGACGTTCGCTGAAGTCTGAGGAACAGTGGAAGAAAGGAATGAATAGATTGTGGTGGATTCAGATAATGGAATAGTGGACAGTATTTAAGGTCAGTGAATTAGATCTACATATTAACAGGGCAAAACCTTAAAGGGAAAAAAACCCACAGAAGGATATGTATAATATGATGTTGCTTGGCACATTAAAAGGTAGTAAATATGGTTTATACATACATATATAAGTAACAAAAGTTCTACAGCATGCATATAAATAATATTAATCACAGAATGGTGGTTACCTCTAAAAAAGGGGGGAGGATGAAGGAGGGATTAGATTTTAGCCATATTTTATTCCTTAAAAATAGAGACCTGAATTAAATATGACAAATCTTAATTCCATATGTGATGTGATAGTTTTCCTATGCTTGAAAATTTAAAGCCATACTTTCTCATTAAAAAACTAGGAATATAAAGAATAATATTAAATAATTGGATACTAAAAGTGATCTCACATAATTAATAATATTTTGGTATTTTTCCTTTTACTACTCTTTTTTGTCAATGCGTGATAAAAAGACTTTTTGTTTTATGATATTTACCATTTTATACTCTTTTACTTCCTATTTAATATTGGCTCTTGGGAATTCTCCATGTTGGTATTCTAATTTGTATAATAACCACATTTACTCCATATATGTGTAACACTTTTTCTGAGTTTTTAAAAAATATTTCATTTATTTGAGAGAAAGAGAGCACGAGAGAGCACAAGCATGAAGTGGGGAGGGGCAAAAAGGGAGGGAGAGGGGGAGAGAGAGAGAGAATCTTTCAAGCAGACTCTGCGCTGAGCACGGAGCCCAACGTGGGGCTTGATCATGCCCTGAGCTGAAACCAGGAGCTGGACACTTAACCGACTGAGCCACCCAGGTGCCCCAACACTTTCTGATTTTTAACATATGTTTGCTATAAAAATTTGGAAAATAAAGTATAAAGAAAATAAAAACTGTCTGTCATCACAGCATTTTGATGCAGTAATATTTTGTGTAATTTCTCCAGTCTTGCTCATTGTTTTGCATCTTTAATTTTTTTACTTAACCATGTATCATGAGAATTTCGCTGTGATATTAGTATTCTACAACGCAATTTTAAAGGACTCCATCTTATTCTATTACATATGGATTAAGAAGCGCAAATACTCATTTAACCCGCCTTCCTTTCTTACTCTCTGTCCGCATTTGTTTGTATGAGATAGAAAACTGAATAATCTGTTGCTGATCGTGGGACCAGGGAGGGAGGAGCAGGTGCTGGGGAATGTTGAAGGCAAGTCTCCTGAGCTTGAGGAGGGGGCAGGATGAGCGGTCACTCGGGATTCTCGCCCCAAATGGGCTCTGAGTTGAAAGAGTCTGCTTATAATCTTTCACCTCTACCTCTACTGCTGGTGTTTGACTGGCTGATTGGCAGTGCAAACTTTTTGGGGGATAATGTACTGTATGGTTCTCACCTTCTATATTATGGAGACAAGCAATAAATGTTGGGTGCAAATAGAAAATAATCAAACCACAAGGCCTTATATAAAAAAAAAATACTTTTGAGGTCATTTTACTTTGTTTGTTTTATATAATTGAGTAGCCCAAGAGCATGTCTTACTTTTCTGCATCTTATGTGGCGAACTCTCTTTTAATGATTCTGAAATGTACATTTGTTCATATTTTAACATCCCTGGAACTGCGATGGGTCCCACAATTCCTGGTGTCTTGATATCATTTTCAACTATTATTCCCATTTTAACATCTCGGAAATCAGGATGTGATTTACGATCTATGACTTCCTAGGTTCAATATGATATTGTATTTTA